AATTCAGAAGACACGCGAAATTTCCATGAGTTTACTGGCGCAATAAACCATAGCTGATTGACCAATCAGAGCACGCGCATTAATTTAATTATTATATAAATTTTGATAATCAAAGTTAACAAGTTGTTTTCCTTTTTTTCGTCGCAGTGTTTTCTAATAGAAATAGAAAACATTTTCTCCGTGTTTCTATCGAGTTACAGAAACACTCGTGAAAGTTTGGGGGAACTCGAAAAAACTGTGGAGACACTCACATGCGGCTCGTGTTCCCACAGCATTTCTCGTTCTCCCACAGTACATGTTTTCTATTTCTTAAATAACAGATACAACGCGCTCTGCCAAAGTGATAGAGTGTTTTCACATGACGTCACGCCATCCATAAACAATTAAACAGCGGCCATGTTGGCGTACCAAACCAATCTTGTTGGAGTTCAACTCTCTCTGATGTACACACTTCCTTTTGTTCCAATAAATTTTCATGGCTGCTGGCCACGTGGGTGAGAACACTCTACGTCATAATTATTTGTTTCACGTGAGCCCTTCACTCTTTTGATGCAAAATAAATTGCTTTGAACATTATTGATCCGTTCCTTTTCAGATTTGTACATTTAAAAACAATTATCCAAAATTTTGAAGCCGTGTTGGTTGCCCAAAAGCAGCGAGCAAAGACCCAGACCGCTCCCACAAAAGGTTGTCCCCCTCCCCTCCGAGAGAACTGTAGCGACGGTAAGACACAGGCTTGCTATAGCACTATTAATGATAAAAATTACAATTTCTTCGATTGTGATTGGTTTAAAAAACTCCAATTTTCCACTAATTCACTCGCCAAGTTGTTATCGGACAGTTTGTTATTGGACAGTCTGTTATCGGACAGTTCAATAAGCCAATCACATTCAAAGTTGTATTTTAAATCAACCAATCCCATTCAAAGTTGTAGTAACGTGCATGCGTGTGTGCGCTTTTGTGTTTTTGGCACCTGATTGCCGGTGGGAGGCGCGGTGGCCTTAGAATGTTTACATCTCCTTTGTAGGTATTTTAATGCAAATTTTCCCTTTCTTTCATAACTTGGCTATTCTATTNATTGCCGGTGGGAGGCGCGGTGGCCTTAGAATGTTTACATCTCCTTTGTAGGTATTTTAATGCAAATTTTCCCTTTCTTTCATAACTTGGCTATTCTATTCTCGGAAATTGTAATTTTTTATGATTAATTGGTAATAAGACTGGATTCGTGTTGTCCAATTCGGTCTGTAATCATACTCGCGATTAACAAATTGGACTTCCGCTGCGCGGTCGTCCGATTTTGTTATCACTCGTATGATAACCGACCGAATTGGACTCCACTCAGTCCTATCACCATTACTAAACATGGCTCGCGTTATTTCCGTGGCATGACACAAGCGTGTTTACAGAGGCGAGTGCAAAGTGTTTGCACATCATTTCCATGATTTTGTTTGGTTTTGAATGTGTAACATCAGGAATAACGAGGGGAAAAGCTTTCGAGAAGCCACCACACTCTGAAAACATTAGGGCTGCGTCACTGAACAGAGTGCCGCACCCATGTCTCGCCTCGTACGCTGCAACCGCTGCATGCTTTATTGATTGGAGATGGGCCGACATCTTCATTTCAGATCGATATGATACCTTCATACCAAGCAGGAATTAACCGTTTTTTCCATATCTATGCTGTGACGACATTGATTTCACTGGTATGTCACATGATCTGTTTGATCAAATACGGGTTGGTCTCGCACTGTAAATGTTGATTGCTGTTCAGTACTCTGTGACCTCTATCGTTGTATCAACAGCACAGACAAACGAGTCATGTCAAAGAGTTCAATCACTGTTTAATAACTGCTTCACCTTTTTTTTTGTGTGTGTGTGTGTGTGGTTTTTTTTTCATTTATTTCTCATTTTTCAATCCTGCTTAATAAACACACTTACCGACATGACTGAGCTCTTCCTCAACCCCGTTCTCAGTCATTTTGAAAAGTGGAGAACGTCATGGAGACGAAGTTAGGCTCTTCCTTTGGTGCTGACATAAGGAACGTGGGCTCAGGAGGGGACGAAAGCCTTAACCTCCTCAGACGTTCTTTGGTGTCACGCAATCTTCCTCCCCCACGAACGTTCGTGGGGAGGAAGATTGCGTGACTAGCGCAAAGAGTATTGAGATCGACCCATCCTTATAATTTACAAACGTGCAAGTTCAACATTTGTTTTGAAACGACGACGCCAGTCATTTGTAAATTACAAATGCGATAAATTCAGGTTTAACCAGCTTCTTTCCATTTTCATCGGTGAAGCTTTCTTCATTTAAAAACTCCATGACATCTTTATAGAGCATTCTATCGGCCGTGACTCGGAAATCTTGCTTGTGCGTTAGGAAGTCGAGAAGAAGCTGCCCTTCAGTGGAAGATTCGTCGAAACAGCTACTTACGTCCACGGTGTAGTGGGCCTTCGACAATTCTTCATACTTCCAATTGTTCCTTTTGGTAATGTCAATAAAATCTACTTCCGTGTGAAGCTTCTTTGTTGACCCCAAGTCGACAAGACCCTGCAATTTTCTGGACAGTTTGGGAAAAAACGAATCTTCGGGTCCCAAGGTACAGAAGATAGCTCCCCCACTAACGAGCCGCTTATAGCAGTTGACCAAAGATGTCTCGGCATCCATGTAGTAAAGGGACGCAACAAAATGAACCAGTTCGAAACACTCGATTTCGGGACTGTAAGAATCGATGAACTTCTGCAAGGTCGTCTCGTGCCATTGGAACGAGAAATCTGCTAGATCTGTGAGGGGCTGAGGCAAACACGACGACACTGTCGTTTTAAACTCTGTTATCATGGTGCTTGGTTCTATGATTGTCGAGTGTATTACTGCTCCTCTCTTCTCTGAAGACTCGATGGCTTTAGCGACAGCAGCAAGAATTCTCAGGTCAGTTTGACCGTGGCCGCTGCCAACTCCAAGAACTCGGAACACGGCAGACTTCAGACAATCTTTAGACAAATGTCTCATTGTATGGGCAGCGATATATTCAGCATAATCCATGATCACCTTTCTAACGGAAGATTTCTTTCGAAACAATTTGAGTGAAGTGAGATAAGGATCTTCTTTCAGTTCTTTTGAAGCTGAAGGAAACATGTTACTTGTAATGTCTGATCCCAAAGCTGGTTTTCACTGGCGAACAAGCACAAAAATAAGTAAATAAGCAACAATACGTTCTCAATGGGCCCTTTGCAGCTGGGATCACGTGACCAAATTTTTCCTAGAAAATTTTTATATTATGGGCTATAACTTAAGGAATGCCAGAAATGGAAAGAGCGCATCGAAAATACCAAAATGGCCACGTTTGAGGCCCCTGGAATTAAAGAGTAAGTTTATACGACAGTTTGAATTTTCGGAAAATTTAGAGAATTTGTATGTAAAATGTTACTGGAGAGCAAGGTCTTGCTCTCCAGCAACTTTTTCCATACAAATCTTCTTATTCTTTTAAAAATTCGGACCGTCATAAAATCTCCTTCTTTAATGATGGGGGCCTCAAACTTGGCCATTTTGATGTTTTTGACATGCTTTTTCCATTTCTGGCATTCGTTAAGTTATAGCCCATAATTTTATGAAAAATAGGTCACGTGATGGCCTAGCTGCAAAGGGCCTATAGCGACAGAGTTGGAGTCGGAGTCGGAGTCGGAGTCGTAAGAGCGCTTATGACTTAGTGAAAATCGAAAGCTCGACGGAATCGGAGTCGGAAGAATCAGGGGTGTCTAGAAAACGAAGACCGAAGACTGAAGACCCCTCGAAAACGAAGACCCCCGAGAAAACGAAGACCTCGAAAACGAAGACTCCCTATAAAGCGAAGACCTGGAAAACGGAGACCTCCTAGAAAACGAAGACCCCCTCGAAATTCTATCTGTAAGGCGAAAGATCGATGTCACAACGCTTCGATCGGTCGTGTAGTGTGAAAACAACCTAATAAATGATAAATTTTATGGAAGTCGTCGTGACAAGTCTTGCCAGGGTGTTACAAAAACTAAGACCCTCAAAAACGAAGACCAAAACCGTCGGCGAAATGAGCACTGAATAAGACATTAGATTGAATCACTTCGTGCGTTGAGCGCCGCGTTGAGCTTTATCTGTTTCGGTAGTATTCGCCACTGCCGTTCGGCTCCTGGTGGACCGGCTTTACTTTGTTTTGCTACGCGAAGGTCAACTTCGTTCCCAGGGTCTCTCATCTTACCGCCCCCTGGAGCGAGCGAGGAGAAACTGGGGAGAGAATGCCCATGGGTAGGGGTCAACCCCACCGCCCCTACCCACGGGCATTTTGTACTGTCTGTACTCTCCCCAGTTTTGCTCGCATCAAGAGACCAAGATGGCGGCCCGTCGAACTCAACGATCGACATCCAGGACATCTTCGATCTCACGGAAAAATAGGGGACTGAACAGTACTAGTCTAGAGATAGCGTGACGAGGCCAAAGAGTATCTGCACAGGAGGCTAGCTTAATTATGCGTGCTGACATCTCACCAGCGCAAGCCTCGGTTTTCAATATAAATGGTACCATGAACAAATTCCCAAAGCAAAGATGAAAAGAACTGGCGATTTAAATAATTAATTGAAAACAAAATTAATCCTTGTAGTTGTAGTCAAATCGCACCATCGTGAAAATTTGCTTTCTCAGTGTAGTTCCGTCCAAATACCTTGAAGTTCGTCAAAAATATTCCGCTACTCCGCTCTCTTCTTCTTCTTCGTGCTCAAACACGGTCTTTGATGTATTACATACCAAAGAGAAAATAACACGAAAGTGCAAGAACTGAGAAAATTTCGCACAAGCGGGATGAATTTTGGGCACGTGACGTAATCAAGCAAAAACAGCATAAATAGCATATTTAAAATGGACTATTTGCCCCCAGGTTCGACCTGGGAAAGTTCGTCAAGTTTGGGATACAGTTCTAGATTGAATGTGACTGAATCGGTATGTTACGTTATGGTTTCATGACATATTCATAATTACATCAGGTCTAACTCCCCGATCGGCAAAACGAACTAACTCGATCCAGTGCCGTGGTTTTCTTCTCGAGCGGGCATACTACAATACAGCGGTCAATTAAGCACTTGGATCAACCAATCAGATTACCCTATTACAGGGGCAATATATTTTCCAAGTATATCGGACAGCACACTGTCCGGCAGTTATCCCTCGCGCCCACTCTTGACAGTTTTCTTGTAGTTT